TAGCATAGCGGGCATAGCCAAGTGAATCTATAGACATGGCATAGCGGGCATAGCCAAGTATATATATAGAGCATGACATAGCGGGCATAGCCAAGTGAATGTATAGAGCCTGGCATAGCCGGGCATAGCCAAGTGAATGTATAGAGCCTGGCATAGCGGGCATAGCCAAGTGAATGTATAGAGCCTGGCATAGCGGGCATAGCCAAGTGATCGTATAGAGCATGGTATAGCGGGCATAGCCAAGTGAATGTATAGAGCCTAGCATAGCGGGCATAGCCAAGTGAATGTATAGAGCATGGCATAGCGGGCATAGCCAAGTGAATGTATAGAGCCTGGCATAGCGGGCATAGCCAAGTGAATGTATAGAGCATGGTATAGCGGGCATAGCCAAGTGAATGTATAGAGCCTGGCATAGCCGGGCATAGCCAAGTGAATGTATAGAGCATGGCATAGCGGGCATAGCCACGTGAATGTATAGAGCCTGGCATAGCGGGCATAGCCAAGTGAATGTATAGAGCCTAGCATAGCGGGCAGGCATAGCCAAGTGAATGTATAGAGCATGGCATAGCGTGCATAGCCAAGTGAATGTATAGAGCATGGCATAGCGGGCATAGCGCTCCCACGCGTGACCGTGGCAAAGCAAGAGGGATTATCGCTGTCTGCCACGTGAGCTGCGCACCTGCCCTCCACCTGTAGTTTGTCTCTGCAATAAGCAAAAAAGCCACCACGTCTTGAGTGGCCACAACACTGCTGTGAAGATCAAAAACAAACCCTGTTCACCTTGCGAACGGATATATCTGTCCCGGAGTGCGCTGTGACGCACTGTTGTTGTGTTTTTTACGTGTTGCGACCAACAACAAAAACAATCTAATTCAAGTGGTTTTCTGCTCAAACAAACTTGGGAAGGATCTCCTCTTAAAAGCTCTCAGTGAATGAAACCCATGACGGGGCCGAGGAGATTTAGACGAGACTCGATGCTTTTTGCGTCCTCCCCGGATTGCTACAGCGGGAGGAAGAGACTGAGGGGTCACGAACCAAAAACCTGGAATTGAACTCGCAAGCCCTCTAACCAACGACTCCACCACCTAATAGTGTTTAACCATACGTCACCACGCTGTTAAGTGCCTGTTGAGACAGGGGGGGGGGAGGGCAACACTGCATCTGACATCGCTTGCCAACCACTTGAGCCGCGTCCGGGAATCGAAATCTTGGTGGCGCAATTTACGACGCCATCACCGCTACGCTCACCAATACACAGTGAATATTGCCAAACGCACACGTGTGTGAGTTGTGTGTGAGTTGTGTGTGTTATTACATTTAGCGGTTAGCGCGCTGCGCGACGAACCCAGTGACCCGAATTCGATTCCCGCTCGCGGCCAACAGCAGTAACAAAAAATCTGAACCGGTCCTGGGACTCCCGTAGGTCGACTCAGCCTCAAATTAGTACCTAGTGCGGTACGTAAACATCGCTACTGGGGATACAAAAGCGGTCGGGCGTGGTGCTGGCCACCCGCCCCCTCGTCTGCCGTGCCGGCCTTCATAGGTGCTCGCTAACGGCACTTGCCCCAACAGTCTGTCAAGGCTACATGAGGGATCTTTGTCTTTGTTATTTAAATAGATTTTCAAACTACGTGGGGAGTTTCATCAACACGGCGGCCGCGCACGCGTGGCTGTGTTGTGCCACGTGTCTGCCTGCCTCATTCGTCACTTTCGGCCCAAGGCATGAATGAATAATAAATAATAATACTGTAATGTTATTTACCTGCAGGGCTTCTTCCACATTGCAGTTCACTTTTCAATACCAGTATTGGTTTGCACAGAGAATTCAAGTTCACCGATCAAGTTCCCAAACCCAATTTAAGACTCTTTTTTTTTTACTTCGTCCAGAAGCGTCCCATTACATTGGCACGTTTGGGGGATCGTATTGTCATGAATGTTCGGGCGTGCGAGAAAAACCCTGAGCAATCCCAGAGTACAACCCCATGACGAATACTGGAGGATAACGCCTCAAAGATCCAACGCAGGCAGGTCAGGTAACCTACTTTCTGTACTGCCGCCTCTTGGCCGCCTCGCGGCTATTGGATTGTGGGAGACGGTGGCAGCCTCCGTGAGTCACGAACCCTCAGTTCCAAAAGGGTGCGAGCTTTGTTTTAATGAACCACCTGGGGGTGACGAGAACAATCGCGCGTTCGCAGCTTGTTGCCGAGGTTTGCGGTTCGAACAAAGGCGGCCACCCCGGTTAATACTGCGGGGTTATTAATTGTAAACAAACAAACAAAAAAACGCGCGATCTGCTTCACAGTGGACGTGAAAGACCCCGTGACGTTATTCGTAACAAATTCGGCCGCGTGTGTGGCCGTCACCACATGGCCCAAATTTCCCACGTTTAAAAATCACTCCGTAATTACCTAATGGGGTGAAACCAATATAGCAACGTTGCCCCCCAACCCCCCCACCCCCCCGACTGCGAAACTGCTGCAGCCTACCGATATCCTCATCTGTGAAACGGTGAAATGTAGAACCTTCGCGATGGCCTTTCGAGAATACCCAGAGCACTAATTATTTGATTTGATGATTGGATATTTGTGAGGGTAGCCATGCAATGCGACAGGGGCTGTGCGTTCGGGGGAAACCCGCCTCCGAGCCACGCAGGCAGACCCCCTAATCCCTCATTTAAAATGCCTTTAAGGCCGCTAATCTCGCTGAAGGAAAGCCGTTAAAAATTAAATCTCAAATTGAGAGCTTTTATGTGTTCGCGCGGGCGTGTGTATGTGCGCGCGCACACACACAAAGACAAATATCCCCCTTATAGCCTTAAAACATACTTTTGGGGCAAGTGCTGTTAAGGAGCACCTATGAAGGCCGGCATGGCACGCGAGGGGGTGGGTGGCCAGGATCATGACCGGCCGCCTTTGTCTCCCCAGTGGCAGTGTTTACACAGCGCACCAGGTACTCATTTGAGGCTGAGGCGACCTAGGGGATGGCCCATGACCGGTTCAGACAACCGTTACTGGTGTTGGTGGCCGTGAGCGGGAATCAAACTCGGGGTGCCGGGTTTGTAGCGCATGGCGTCGGGTTGATGGGAGGGGGTGCTGCTGGAGGGGGGTGAGCGCTCCCCCGCCCCCGCCCCCCCTTCCTCCTGCAGAAGACTAAGCGCCCCCTTTTAAATTCGTGTAGTTTAGTCAAGAAAGTGTGTCAGCAGGGGCTTCATCACTGTCCTCATCGGCACAGGGGGTGAAAGAATCAGGGCAGAACGCACGCTCGACGTACGCGCCGCATGCAGCCGACCGTGCTAACGGACAACAGCGGCCCACATCCTTGCTCCTTCTCCATTTGGCGTTTGGCATTTCTTTAAAATCAGCTTGAGATCGACTGTGGCCGCACCCCCACGGTTGCTTTTTTAAAATCCTTTATATTAAGTTCACTTGCTTGCTTGCGCGCTTACGACCGTGCAAATATTTCGGTCGTTTTTTAACCCACTTCCCGTGATCCAATCGAGCTGACATTTTGCACACAGACTCGTTGTGCGTGACAATTTATTTTAGTGGAAAAAAAATTCCAAAATTTTCCACTGTTTAGGAAAAAAAAGAATTCATATTTTATTTAAAATACCAATGTGATAAAAATGAAACTCTTACTCAAGAAAAACAGAAATGAATAATAAAATAAAACCGATGCCATGCATATAAAGGATTTATAGTGAAAAACTTTGTTTTTACGGGTTAATTTTTTCTTTGTACGCCCCACTCCCCGGCAAGAGCGGCCCCAGGGGGGCGACGCGCACGCTCCGTTGTCGCGAGCGACGCGCGGATTTAAGCGGCACGCGACGCACCGCTCGCGTGCGGCGACGGGTGAAGTCGCCGGTGACATGGTGGCCATTATGAACGCGGTGACCCCGTGAAGACTATCGCTTCAAATTGCTTCCTTCCCCCAAAACCTCCCTTTTGGACAGCGTCGCGACGCGAGCTTCCGAGTGTAAATGTTTGCAATAGCTCTGCTCGGAGCTTACATTGCTCACCGAACGTTTGTTCGGGTCGCTGGCAGAGTTGAAGTAGGCGCACGACGAGTAGCCACGGTCTTGGCGAGTAGGTGTACTGGATGTTGCGTGCTGGGTGCAGGGAAAAAACAATTTTCCCAGAATGCTGCCCAGAGAAGACCCGGATTAAATTAAATCCGGATTTTACTTTCTGCTACAGACATGCCACTGGTGATTGGTGGCAACTTGGGGTTCTTTTAAAGTCTAAACTTGTGCAGATCCCATTATTCGAATGCCATACTGCGCCCATTACCTTTCCTCCTTTCTCTCAGCGACATAAACGGCGTGCGAATGCGTGTGCACGTGTGTTCGTTAATTGTGATACGTGCGTGGCCGTTGTGGACAATCCACTGCTGTAATAGTAGGTTTTTACCCTTTTAACTGGTACAAAACTGACACCTTTATTCAAGGCATCATGTTTGCAATGACCACAACACAAGTAGTCAAAAAAACAAACAAAAAGAAGCAACTCTGATAAGGATAATAATATGCACTGTCCTTGAAGTTGATTGGCCCACACCCGAGACGGCTTTCTTTAGAGCCTAGTCCCCATTGGTGTTGGGCCAGATGACACCACAGCTGGGCGAGGCCCTCTACACACCGTGGAGGGCTGTGGGTCTTGTTTGACTTCACCACGCTGCTCAGAAAGGGTTGGTGTCAGCGGCGAGACGGCGGCGCATGAAAGTACAGCACAACAGCGGATGTTGCTACACTGGACTACCCTCCACATAGCTCCGCGTCGACCTGTATACCACCTGTTGTGCGCAGGATAGTCGCCCATCCAAGGGCCTATCCAGACTCAACTCTGCTTAGCGTCCGGGATGTGGCGAGATCCGGCGCGTTCCAAGTGATTTGGTCCTAACTTGGCTCCGCGTCGTGAGAAACGTCTTTTTAATTCTCACTTCCCCCTCCCCCCCCACCATCTCTGACCCTCCCCCCCCCCCCCCGATCTCTCGCCCCAAAGGGCCGCGGGTGGCGGCACGAGGTCTCCTCGGGCCTAGGCGTGAGGAGGAGGGCCCTCGCCGATGCGCGCGTGCCACGCGCCACTCCCGCCCGCACCGAGGAGGCGCACGGCCATGGAGCACCGTGTCAACTCCTCCTCCTCCTCGAGCAACGATAGCGGCGGCGGCATCGCTCACAACCGGAGCGCGGACGACGGCCTGGCCAACGAGACAGCGAGCGCCACCGGCTACACGCAGTCGTGGGCCATCGGCATGGGCTTCCTCATGGCCCTCATCATGCTCATCATCGTGCTGGGCAACTCGCTCGTCATCCTGGCGATAGCGCGCTTCAAGCGCCTGCAGACGGTCACCAACTGCTTCATCGTGTCGCTGTCGTGCGCCGACCTGGTCATGGGCGTGCTGGTGGTGCCGCCCAGCGCCGGGCTCGTGGTGACGGACAACGTGTGGACGCACGGCTCGTCGGCGTGCGAGCTGTGGACGTCGGTGGACGTGCTCTGTGTGACGGCGAGCATCGAGACGCTGTGCGTGGTGGCGCTCGACCGCTACCTGGCCATTACGGCGCCGCTGCGCTACAAGCAGCTGCTGACGAAGGCGCGCGCCCGCCTCATCGTCGTCGTCGTGTGGAGCATCTCGGCGCTCATCTCCTTCCTGCCCATCCAGATGCTGTGGTGGCGCGACAACGCCGACGTGGAGGCGACGCAGTGCTACAAGAACCAGGACTGCTGCGACTTCATCACCAACGCGCCCTACGCCATCGTCTCGTCCGTCGTGTCCTTCTACGTGCCGCTCATCGTCATGGTGTTCGTGTACGGCCGCGTCTTCCAGGAGGCCAAGAAGCAGCTGCGCAAGATCGACAAGAACGAGGGCCGCTTCTACGAGGTGTCCGCCGGCGGCGTGGGGGCCGCGGCGGGCGACGGCGGCGGAGTGATCCCCAGGCGCCTGTCGAAGCGGCGCACCTCTCGCGTCGTCTCCATGAAGGAGCAGAAAGCCATCAAGACTCTCGGCATCATCATGGGCACCTTCACCATCTGCTGGCTGCCCTTCTTCATCTCCAACATCATCAAGGCGTTCTGCAAGACGTGCGTCGACAAGAAGCTGTTCTTCTTCTTCAACTGGCTGGGCTACATCAACTCGGCCTTCAACCCGTTCATCTACTGCCGGAGCCCCGACTTCCGGAAGGCCTTCAAGCGCCTCCTCTTCGGCTGCTCGGCGCTGAGCAGGCGCTCCGCGCCCAGGAGGCGCGCCGGGAGCCTCGCGTCCTGCGCCGCCGAGGAGCAGCAGCGGCGGCGGCGCGCCGGCGACCGCCTGACCCCCAACGGAGGAGGTGCCGGGGGAGGCGGGGGCTCCCGCGCCTCGCAGCTCGCGTTCGCCGTTCGCACCCCGGGCGCCTTCAGCAACGGCAAGGCGTCCCTGGGGGACGGGCGGCATGACAGCCGCACGAGCAACAGCAGCAGCAGCGAGCAGAGCCTGGAGCGCAACGAGAAGGCGCCCAAGACTAGGCCGGCTGAAGGGTGACCGGGTGGCGGCCCACGGAGGTGACGACGCGAGGGGGGAGGGAGGGGGGGTGGGTCGAGGACCACCGTTTAAAAATGCGAGGGCTTGCCGAGACAGCTCGGCAAGGGTCGTGTTGAGCCCTCGCCCCTGTTGCCGTAATTCGTTGGACGAACGCGGCCCAAGTTTCACCGGAGGCGGGGCAGGGGGCGGGGGGCGCGATCTGATCCCCGATTGCGCGCGTGCGTGCAGCGAACAGGCGTGTTCCAAAACAAGTCGCCGAACACTGCACCCCTTTCTGTTGTGTTCCTGCCGCTTCAAAATTATTAAATAATAAGAATAACGAGGGAGGACGGCGAGCCTTGACCGCAGTTAACTCTCGCGTGTTGCATCGTCGTGGCCAGCAATTTGAAAATTGAGAGCAGATCACTTTGGGCTGCCTCTCCCTCAAAGAGGGGGGCGTGCACCCCCCCCCCTCCCCCCCGCAGGGTCTCCTCCTCCCCAGGAGTGAGCCAGGCCACAGCCATGACCGTTTTGAATGTGAAGAGAGTGTCGACCCAAAGAGGTCAGAGGTGGCCGTTACGCGCCGCGGCGTCGCTCGCGGTCGCGGCACGGCCCTCCCCGCGTGCCTCTGCACTTTTTTGCTCGGTCCGTCGCCCAACTCGTTGCGAAGCTCAGAGACGGCGGACAGGTCACCGCCGCTTGGTGTGCAACCGGCAGACCCTCGCGGCGGCGGCTGCTGCAAGGGCCGCAGTAGCGCGACGGTGTCCACGTGTTCGAGGCTGCGACTGGCACCGTTTGTTGGCAGCTCGACAAAAAAAAACAAGTTTATGCGCCAAGCGGCGTTGGGGGTTGGGCAGGAGAGTGATGTGGGGAGGGGGGGCTGCATGTTTCACATATGTAGATATTTCCCCTCTGGTTTCAATTATTACCGCGATAGTATAGAATTCTCTACAGCCTTACGAGTCTGGTTTCCTCCCTTGCAGGCCTTTTCGTGATGCCACAACCGTCGAGTGTGTCATCTCGATCGCACAGAGACAGAGAGAGAGAGCTTCGTGCCCAGCCGCTGTCCCGGCAGCACCGGCAGCTGTAGCAGCAGCAGACAGCTGGCGCCGCAGGCTGCCCTCTGAGCCACAAGTCTCAATCACAGCAGGCTTCTGTGGGGAGGAGAAAGCAGAGTAGCCTGGAGGGAGAGAGAATTCCACAAAGCTGTACATACCCGCGCCGCTTGACCTGCTGCTGTAAAACAGCTGTGGAAACGTACAGTGTTTAATAGCAGTCGGGGTGAGTTGGAGATTTGTTTAAGGTCTCCAATCTAACCGCACCGCGTGTTTTTGTTTCTGTGAGCTAATCAGACGCGTGCGTTGTTGAGCGTAAAGCGAGCGCGTGTCCCCGCTACAACGGGTTGGTGGAGTCGTGGCGACGCTGCGCCTTGATGCCAACTTTAGCGGCCACGTGGGGCTCCACTCACGGCCATCGTCAACAAAGTGGGCGGCGGCATCCGAACCTGTCCGGCGTGTCCCACAACTAGGTCGTCTTAGCCTGCAACGGTGCGTTGTGCCAACATCATCACCACTGGAGAGGCAAAGGCGGTCCGGCGCCGTGCTGAATTAACCACCCACCTTTAGCGGGTGCTCGCTTACAGCCAAACGGCAATTTTGTGTGTGTGATCTGGGCCTAATTAATGAATCTATTAATACAATGCGAGCGAGGGTTAGGGGGTATTGGGGGTTCACCGGGAGGGGGGGTGGGGAGAGGAATGGACTTTCTCAACAGGGGTCAGGTTGAGCGCACTCACGCGGCACGGCTGCGTACGCGCGGTTGTTGTTCGTCGCTGATTAATCACGCACATGTCGACGAGATTTGGATCCGAGAGGTCTGCTCGTGGAGCCGAGACTCGCTCATTCGGAGGAGGACATCATCTGCAATTTCTAAAAATGTTTGTACCAAGTTAATGTGTTCTTAGATGGGAGGGGGTTCGATGTCTGAATCCGCGTGTGTGAGTTCCAAAAAGTGGAACCGGCTCGCGCGGGACGTGACGTCTCCCAACGGGCAAGCCTTTGGCCATTGTGTGCCGTCAAAGTCGAAATTCCAGATTTGAATATCCCTTGCGGCTAACTTTGATGCGAGAGGAGAAATCCAACCAACCGTTCCACCTCCGAGTAACACGGTTGGCTACGTACGGCGCGAAAGACGTTCAACATACATACATATAAGAATAATTCATACCCACGTGTTGGACATTTAGGCGGTCCCACGTTTTCTCTTTAAGAGCATGTAATACGGGTGCTTCACGGAATGTGGATCAAAACATGCGTGCATGGGCAAGGCATCTTTGCGTGTGAACGGCGTGTGTGTGCGCGCGTGTGAGCGATGCGTGTGGGGAGCGGTGGTGTAGCGGTTAGCGCGCTGTGCTACGAACCCGGCGACCCGAGTTCGATTCCAGCTCACGGCCAACACCAGTGACGATTATCTGAACCGGTCCTGGGCCTCCTCCTAGATCGACTCAGCCTCAAATGAGTACCTGGTGCGGTGTGTAAACATCGCCACTAGGGAGACAAAGGTGGCCGGGCGTGGTGCTGGCCACCCACCCCCTCGAGTACCGTTCTGGCCTTCATAGGTGCTCGCTAACAGCACTTGCCCCAACAGTCTGTTAAAGCTACACGGGGGATATTTGTCTTCGATTGTGTGAGCGATGCGTGTGTGCGCGCGTGTGTGCGCGCGTGAGTAAGTGCGGGTTTTATTTTTCATAATTCTGATTAAAGCGAATGCGGACACAAAACAAAGAACTCGTGTGATGTCCGTGGACACTCACACCGCTTGAAGCACTTAAAAACTTCTTCAGAACAACACACAGACACAGACACGCACAAGAAATCTCCATGGAACGGTTCGCTAAACATGACTCATTCGATGTCGCGAAAAACATTCAGAATGCATCTGGGATTTAGTATTATCTGGCGTTGCGTAATTACACTGTTCAAAATGTAACCTGTACGCTGATCGTCACATATGCTTCGTTGAGTCGCGAGTCTCGCTTTGTCAAGCAATAGTGAACTGAGTGTGCAACAGACTTTTTGTTTTTTTAAAGAAGTCAAGTTGCGTTAAAATTAGACTGTTGTCCTGTTAATCACTTGTTTGCGTAAAAAAGGCACAAAACATAGAACTCGTGTTGTTGTTGTTGTTCAGATTTATTGCGAAGTATACTTTAAATACAGCCCTGTACATAACGCACAGGCACAACGTGCTTATGGCAAATGATCATTCCCGCGTAACGTTGTATTATCTGGATTATGAGACGCACTTTTTTTTTCTCCCGCCCTGTATTTTTAAAGCAAATCTTGCAGGTGCACCCCGTAATGCCGTGGCTGTGTGTTGGCGTGTGTGTATGTTACACCAAATTTGTGGGAGCGGTGGTGCAGCGGTTAGCGCTACGCTGCGCTACGAACCCGGCATCCAGAGTTCGATTCCCGCTCACGGCCAACACCGGTGACGATTATCTGTACCGGTCCTGGGCCTCCCCTGGATCGACTCAGCCTCAAATGAGAGCACCCAGTGCGGTTTGTAAACATTGGCACTCGGGAGACAAAGGCGGCCGCGAATGGAGCTGGCTACCCACCTCCTCGTGTGCCGTTCCGGCCTTCATAGGTGCTCGCTAACAGCACTTGCCCCAACAGTTTGTTAAGTCTACATGGGGGATATTTGTCTTTGTCACCAAATTTGCATACCTTTATTGACACCGTGCACAGATTTGCGGTGCGTATTACTTTCTGGAGCATCTTAGAATCCAGAGAAACACAGTATCTACATTTATCGATGTGGAAAGCAGCGTCATCCTGTTGCAATACGTTGAATGAAGAGTTGGTCAAAAAGTATTTTTTTGGCGCCGGGGGGAGGGGGGGGAATTATGATTTTAAGACGGAATTTGTTGCAATCATCAGATGCCGCGTTCGTGTTGACAAGTCACTGTGTGCAGTCTGAGTGCACTTGTGCTGCGCTGGGCGGCTGCCCCCTTGATGTGGTAATAGTCAAGCAGTGGGTGTAACGATCACCCCCCGCTCCCCCCCCCCTTCATCGTGTTAAGATTCATCGCCACAATTCACCGTCACGATGGGATTCGATAAAAAAAACAATTACATCGCGGGGAATGTAGCGGCCTCTTGCGGCTGTACGGAGGTCGCGTGAACCAATTATATACAGCGTGTACGAATCTAAAAAAAAAAACAGTCGAGCCGGAGATCCAATGTAAATCGGCGAATCGATGCATCGTTACACCCCATGGTAATATGCGCCTGCCCGTCACGACGACAGGCCGATGCGCATCAATAACCAACTGAACATTTATCGTGACTTTTGCGTCGAGGTGAGTTTCCGACCCACGTGCTCTTATTTATTCTGCAATTGTGTTGCAGCCATTGGCAGTAGTAGAGAGAGAGTCCATCTTCCCTGCCGATCCCCTTGCTTGCCCCTAGTTCTAGCACTAACGCCTGCTGGCGTTTATGTAAAATCACTGGGTCCCACTAGCACTTGCAGCGAACGATCGCGAATCTTAGCTCGACCGCTACCCGTTGAGTTTTCCATTGCCCGTGCCTTCGTGAGTCTCTGCGCCGATTGACTGCCGGCTCCAGCGGTGAGCGAAACCCACGGCCAACGATTTGCTGATAGCTCGAGTACCAGGTGGTTTCCGCGAGGCACGTAACTCGAGTTGAGGCATCTGTCCTGCTTGAGTTCTGGGAGAAATGAGGCCGACTTCACCATCGACTCGAGCCGACTTGAGTTTGCTGGCCCCATGGAATCGATGAAACTCAATCGCACGAGTTATCTGGAGTGTTAAAAGACCCGGCACGGACTTGTCGACAGCACGGATCATCGCGGTCAGTAACTTACCCGCCACTCACTTTGGCGAGATGACTTTTCACAGGCCGGTGTGTGGGACCCAGGTGTTTGAAATTACCCCCCCCCCCCCCCGCTGTCCCCCCCCCCATCCCCCCTCGTGTCCCTTACTCGATCCCCGCTCTCGTTTTATCGCGATATCGAGTTTGCAGTACGTGCTATTGACTACCTCATCTTTAAGAGTACCGCTGTCATTGTTACGCACCGACGCGTTTTCGTGTACATATGTGTTAATTCACACGTCCCTGTAACCCACCCGCGTTATACATTAATATCATACTATGGGTTTTTTTTTCTTGTTGTGAATGTATAAATGTATTGCCAAGACTTGGCCTCTCTTGAGGTTTTGGGAGGAGGGGATGGGCTTGTGGGATAAAAGGGAGGGCAATAGGGTTTGGGGAGGAGGGTCACAAACAGGGTAAGATTATGGAACAAGGGGCACTCTTTGTAATGTTGTTGGTGGGGTGGGGATTGAGGTTGTGGCTGGTGGTGGCTGTGCTTCACCGTGTCCGGCGAGGTTTCTGTTGTAATCACTGCCTCTGGCGTGGCCCTAACGCGAGCACTCGGCGAGAGGAGCCTCGCAACACTGAGCGCCAGCTACGATTTTGGCCAAGTGACTTTCAAACGGAAGGCCCTATCGCTCTCAAATATGGGCGCTCTTTCCGCACGCACGCGCCTACACGCGCGCCCACCGCACAATGCGCATACACACTCATCCTCGAGCACTCGGCCGCTCGCGTGAACCGAAAGCCCAGGGGAAAGAGCGCTGCTTGTTGGGATTACGCAATAGCTCCTGGTGGCCCAATTAGCGATCAAAACCACGGGATCAAAGTGGTTCGGCAGGCAGGCAAGGAGTGGTTGTACCCCCCCCCCCCCCATCGCCATTCAAGTGTCACGTTGAGTTGCAAAGAGATTCCCACTGCGTCCGCCTGACTGTCCGTATAATTGCAAAACGCGGAAAAAGTATATAATAAACGAGAATAAAAGGTGAAATGCCTTAGGCGCACATGATAGAATTACGGACAATGGTCTGGGCCTCCACGTGTAGATGAAGGATACATGAAATATGTGTTATTAGTCCATCAATCAACATTGGGGAATTTTGTCAGCAGTGTTTTCCGGCCAGCATTTGTGAAAGCAGGCAAACTCCGAACTGGTTTAGACTTCTCTGAGTGGCATCAGCAGAGCGTGGCCTGTCAAACGAACACTGCTGGGTTGCCCCGGTGTGATAGGCAAGAGCTCTTCACTGATAGCACGGGGAACGGCACTAAGGGCACGTAACAAATGTTACGCGTACACATCTAAAATAGTCGGCGTTCGGTAACAATCAACAGGTAGCCAAATGTCTACAATGCATTCCAGAGTCGCTTCTGTGAAAATTATTTATTGGCGACTCTACGGCACAAAACGACAAATTAGGTCAAACTCTGCAACGAAGACTAAATGCTTATTTGAGCTTGTGCTCAACAACAATAATAACCGTAAAAAATAATAATGTCCCATTATATAGGTTATCAAAGATTAGGGCAAACATTTTTCCGTAAACAATGGCAACGCCGGTGGAATGGGATGTGCAGTGGCTCACGGAGGCAAAGCGCCCTTGGGCTCGTAACCGCCGCGGTGGCGGTGCACAATGTGAGCGCGTGCGGGGGCCGCGCTTTGATGAGAAATGCCCGTGGAAACGACGCACGTGTGTGCGGGCGGTGTCAGCAACGCCACGTAAGATGAAAAGCTGCGGCCAGGTCTCCTGGGCACCGCTTGCCAGCAGTCAACGTGGTCGGGGAATGGCGGAGGGTGGGGGGTGGGGGGCCTTTTTGTTTTGTTGTTCTCATGTTTTTTTCCTTCTTTTAACATTCCCCTCCCCCATAAAAACAAATACATCCCGATTGTGTTTTGGGCGTCGGGCCGTGAAAGCGGATATATCGCGTTTGCATCGCTTCGTGTTGGGACGTGGCCCCCGCAGAAGTGGGTATCACAGAGCTATTTCTTGGGATGCCATTCGAGTGGCCCCCTGGTCCAAAGGGTAGAGGGCCGCAGTTTCCCAGCCGCTCTGCATGTGTCGGTCAAACCGATATTTAATTTATCGGAGCTGGTATCTATCCAAGTGACGTGCAGAACAAATGTAATGTCACGGTGTTGTTTTTGTGTGCAGTCATGTGTAACTAGGCTGAGATCAGTTACTCACTATTCTTGAGTACCTGGTGTACGATCTGATGGTGATCCCCTGCATTCGAACTCATGATCTCAGCGATGCCAGCTCAACGCTCTGACCTCTAAGCCACCCGGCCACCACTTTCTTTTTACGTTTTATCTGAATTGTCCGACAGGAAGCAGGCCAGATTGTGCTGGTAATCATTGCCATGGTAGCCCATATACTTGCAGGTAGAATGAGATGTTTTTATTTTATTATAACTGTTGCATCATTTGTGTAGTCTGATGCATATCAACCGAAGGTCAAGAGGTCGTGATGATGGCCAATGCCTTTGATGCCACCGCACCTCGCCATCACTTCTTTCCCTCTGCTAGATCTCATAATTGTTGTAAAGTCACCACCCGAACGTAAAGATCTGTTCTAACAGTATCCCACTGTGGCATGCCATGGTATGGCATGGTGTGGTATACTCCACCATAACAATGGGAAGGTGCCTACATTGCTCAAGGAAGCTTGGCTGCTAAGTTCACACCATGTTGTGAAAGTGTTGATACTGACCGGTGCGATGTGCATTGGTGTAAGTATCGGTGTGAGTAGCAGCTGCATGGGATTTGTAGGCTATCTGCGTGAATATTATCCTAACATGCACACCCTCTCATTAGTCGCACACATGTTTTTTACACACACACACACACGCGTGTACATTAAAATGTGGGCTTATTAGGCTTCAATCTAGAAACTGCAGCTTTTGTGACACTCGAAATGCAACCTGCCGCTCGGTGTGCACGATGTATCCAGTGAGTGTGGCCAATGCAGTATTTGTTGGGTGGAATGACCCCACCGTGGTCCTACATAGTTGCACGAGCTACCCAGGGGTATGGCTGTGCCATGAGCGTGACGATTCTCGGTGTCCGTACTCGTGACCCGTGCTCTGTGACTTTACTCCCGCCGACGAGAACTCCATTTGTCGACTCCATCCGTGTCACCAGGGCCGTCCGTAGGGATAGTGGGGGGGTGCGGGGCCCGGGGCAAACCCCACTGTGTGCCCCCCCCCTCCCTCAAGTTCTGGGCCCGGGGCAGTCGCCCCGATTCTCTGTACCCTAAGGACGGCACTGCATGTCACGGTGTTAGGGGTTGACAATTGGCACTCGCCACACTGCGAAACCTTCCACTTTCCCCAAGGCCACCCCACCACCACCACGGCTGTGATGCCCCCTTGCTCCTTTAACGGCCCTCTCCTCCTGCCTCCGCCTAAAGAGCCTGCGAATGTTATTTGCCGAGCCCTTCACGGCTCTCTTTCTCGTCTCCTTGTTTCCTGAGCTGCTGCTGCTGCGCTTTCCTACCCCTCCCTGCCCTCCCACTATTCAAACTCTCCATCCAGGCTCGTCAGCCTAATCCCACTCTTGTGAATGTCGCCTAACCCCCCACCCCCACCACAGTAAACACTTTTTGATTTCCAGCCCCCAGCTCTCCCAAGTGGTTACCTTGCCACCTGAGCTGTGATCAAGCGCGAGTATCTTGATTCATGATTCAGGCAGGCCGAGAGCCCCATTGAGACTTCAAGTAAAAAAAATGCAATGGAGAACCCGGTTACAAAATGCGAATGGGAAAGGAGATGCCTGGCGAAAAAGGAATTGGTGCGGTTATTGGAACAAACAACAATAACAATGTCAAAGTAATCCCGTGCAACTAAAGGAGACGTGAGTCGAACATGTTGTTACACAAGTCGGCAACGTGATCAGTGGGATACAAACTATGTCAGGCACGAGGCAATGATGATCAAAATGCATTTACACGCGGAATGTCCGAGCCTGGTGCAACCCACCTATTCAATTTAAGGGTGATCACGTGACGCCGGTAGTGACGTTACATGGGGAGCGGTGGCGCAGCGGTTAGCGCATTGCACTACAAACCCGGAGACCCGAGTTCGATTCCCGCTCGTGGCCAAAACCAGTGACGATTATCTTAACCGGTCCTGGCCCTCCCCTAGGTTAACTCAGCCTTAAATGAGTACCTGGTGTCTTGTGTAAACATCGCTACTGGGGAGACAAAGGCGGTCGGGCGTGGTGCTTGCCACCCACACCCTCGTGTGCCACAGTGCCGGCCTTCATAGGTGCTCGCTAACATCACTTGCCCCAACAGTCTGCGGCAGGCCATACGGCAAGGGCCCTGGTGCCAAAGGAATCCCGTGGGCCCCTGCGCAGGTGCACCGCCTGCACACTCGACGGCTGCACAACTGCCTGACTCAATTGAACTAACATTGTCAGCAAATTTCGATTTAAATGCTTTCGTGACTGCAGGGATTCATCTTCTTGGTTCTTTCGGTAAAGTCACGTAGAATGGAAATAATAAAATAATAAAAATAAAACATAACAAAATAATTCTCACATACACTTCAGTGTGAAAAATATGTGTATGTGAGAATTATTTTATTATGTTTTATTTTTATTATTTTATTATTTCCATTCTACGTGACTTTACCGAAAGAACCAATAAGATTGTCAGCAAACACGAAAATAAAATTAACAGTAGAGTTATATTACCTTCCTGGTTAACAACCTTCCCTCAATCAATAGCGACACCTGCCAATGACTTAACTCCGCTCCCGGACCACACAGGCGCACTGCTGCTAATATATCGTACCCCGTGTACTTTCTTGTTTGTGTCCGCTCGAGGTGAATTTAAACGCACCGCTAATGATTGTGACGCAGCAGGTAGCGCGCGCGTGCTGTCCCTGCTGATGCGCACTCGTCGCCCTCTGACGCCCCGTGAATTGCTGCGTCCGCGAGACTTTCGTTTCGTTTCGAGCCGAGCAAATGCTTCGGATTTTTTCGTTGTTTTGGTTTTTTTGTTGGCGCGTGAGCTCCCCCCGGGCGGCCCCTCCCCCCTCGTCCCCACCCCCACCCCCCAACACCCTTTATGATGTGATGTGTGCAATACCTATATTACAAATGTACATTCAATGTTGCCATGTGTGTTCGTCGAGCTTACATTGGCTGGTTAAATAAATAAATAAACAAGCAAAGTCCCGATGTTATATGTCCATGTACGTAAGGTGTGTTGTAATTATTTTGTACGGTATATATATTTTTTTTTTTGTTATCGTCGTTATAAATATTTCGGATTTTATTTCAGATAGCTCAATAAAAGTTCACATTTAGCTGGTCGCTCAGTCATGTGCATAGTACCTGCATTTAAATCGAGAATACAGTACTTCTAATAAATTATATAAGTTATATTGCTGGTGCCTGGTAGGACTCTTTGTACTATTGTGTTCCTTGTTTCTGCATCGCCACCCCATCGCATGCGTCTTGTACAATTAAAGGGACAAATATAAACACATAGCCCACGGTGACCGCATGTCTGCCAATTATTCACAAAAAATGCTAACATCCAGTTGTTTATAGAAGGAAAAAAAGGATGGTTAAGGGAATGAGTCACAGCATCAGTTACATTGGGCGCGTGCAATCTTTTCTCTTAATCTTCTTGGGCTACGCATAACAGAGGAGACAACGTACGGGATATCAAGATGCTACAATGTGGCCTGGCCATTGCAGCGATGAAATGTCACCTCCTCCGTCATATGCGTGGTGTTTCCTCCGGGAACGCTGGCTTGCTCCTCATCCTCCTCCTTTATCATCCCACAAAAAAAGTCAAACACTCGTTCATGGAATTGCCAAACATTCAAATGCAAGACGCTGCTGAGAATGAGTCTTGAGACTCGGTGAGACCTTCCTGGGAAACTAATCGGTTTATTTTATTTCATGGAAATCCTGATTGCGATGTTGGGTCAATCACTTTTTTGCTACAGCTACTGTGCCAATATCGAAAACCAGTGCTCTTGCTATTGTGTGTGTGTGTAATGACCGAGACAACAGACCGCTTACCTTACATGGTGCACGTGCAAACGGGCAGCCAGGAAGTCAATCAAGGGTTCTGATTGGTGCAGGGAGGCCTCAAAGACGACTGATTAAGATAAGAGACTCATAAGGCATTGGAGGAGAAATTCAAACGTCAAGGCGGAGGAAACGAAGGTTGATCGAGAGAGGGCCGCTTGAGAGCCGTTGGATAAGGAAGATGAGGATGGGCTGGGGCAGATAGGTCGGGAAAAGATTCGGGAAAGAGGCCTCGGGGTGGGGGGGGTGTACCTGGGGAATCACAAGAAACGGGGACGCTGGAGAGAAGATAGAGTCCGGACCTGCAAGAAGGAAGCTCATGACCTTGCTCGTGCCACAATAAAGGCTCTTGGTAAACTAAATATCGTGTGCCGGACGTCATTACATGTGGAAAAAACACACACACCATACCGTACACATACAATTCCTTGCACACAAAGACTTATTAAAAAATTATATACGTGTTTCTGGGGAATAAAAAAACGGACAATCCTCGACTTGCGAACGAGTTACATTCATGAGGCTCGTTCCTAAGTGGATTTGTACGTGAGTCGGATGTGATGGGTAAAAAATATAAACATCTCATGGTAGTAAGTAAGTGCGGATGTCCGTAAGTCGGACGTTCATATCTCGGGCACTGCCGGTTACATCGAAGTCCATCAACCTTTGGGAATTCTGGATCGATGTTTTGCAGAAGAATGTTTTACGACGAAGCTGGCTAACGGACCTGCCCTACAAAAGAAGAGCCCAATGTGCCACGTCGTAAATTGTCTCAGCAGTTGATGGCAGGCGTATCTCGCGTGTCCGAGATAACAAACACTTCTTATTCTCTCCTTCTTCTTGTTCGTCCATCAAAGTTGATGATGACCATGGCACGTTTGTCATTTTGTTGGGTTTTGATGAGTGCGCAGATGGCTGAAGAGGCCAATCCGAGCCCGGAATTCCCTGTGGCACACTGGACAGGTCAGGGAGGATGTAGAGCTCTGAGGTGCAGCCACACGTCCTTCCTTGGTAGATTTGCGCTGCTGCCTCTTCAAGATGGCACAGGAGCGTCTCCTACTCTCACAGAGGACTGCACCGTCCTGTACTTTTCTTCTCCAGGCAGGTCGGTCCTGTACTAGGACCGAGAGCAACACTCACGTCTTCATTGACGCGAGACGGTAACCCACAAAAACAACAACAACAACAACGACGACTCTTCGACGGTCTGTACACGTTGGCCACATTGGGCGTGTGGATTTTTTTTGCCGGAGCAGCAATGTCGTCAACGTCGTCAACGTTCATCTTCTTGGTTCTTTCGGTAAAGTCACGTAGAAGGAAAATATCAAAGTAAAATTTTAAATAAAATGTATTTTTATTATTTTATTATTTCCCTTCTACGTGACTTTACCGAAAGAACCAAGAAGATGAATCCCTGCAGTCACGAAAGCTTTAAATCGAAATTTAAGTCGTCAACGCTGTCTTCACGTTAAACGCTCGGCACGCGGCTCGCACCATGCACGTGAGAGGCCGTCCACGTTTCGTTTGACGCGCTCGTAACGATGATCCATCCCACCCTTCTTTGGCTGGCTCTTTTGGTCCTTAAGAGCACCGTACACGCGCCGTGCCTTGAATGAAAACACATTAACGACGAATCTACGAACCCCTCCCCCGCCCCCCGAGCTAAGAGGAACACAATGGTGTGGGGATATTTAACGACCTAGGGGAGGTGCATTTCAACTGGCCCTCTGCACCGAGCAGCGATGAGTGCACGAGTCGTACATCGTGCAAAGGGTGAGGTCCGATTTTGCGCGCACGCCCCTTGGAGGAGCGAGGCCCCCCTCGTCTCGTGAAGCGACCAGTGCCCGATCTTGTTGTCGCCACTGAGGCTTCGGATTCCGTGACGCAAACTTGCGGTAAGTAAAGTGCCGCACGTTGCACACAAAGGAATGGGTTTCTGAGAAAGGTGGTATGGACATTTTCCATTGTCTTATTGTGCCAGCCAATACGTATATGTGTTCTGGTAAAATTCAATAACACGCGTATTCATTGTCCTATACGGAACTTAAACACCCAGGGACTCGTGTAGGGTAAGGCTTGCTCGGGATGATTACGCACGAAGCAACATAATCCTATGGTAGTAATAATAATACTCTAATTACGCTTTCTTGGATCTTTCGGTAAAGTCACGTAGAAGGGAAATAATAAAATAGCAAAACTAAAACAATACAATTCTCACGACGTTTCGGCCACAACACAAGTAGCCGTCCTCAGGTGAAGAACAGAACTGACTGCGACCGAGCTTGTGTTGTGGCCGAAACGTCGTAAGAATTGTATTATGTTTTATTTTTATTATTTTATTATTTCCCTTCTACGTGACTTTACCGAAAGAGCCAAGAATATGAATCATTGCAGTCACGAAAGCTTTAAATCGAAATCTAATTACGCTCACATGGGTCTGAAACCTACGTTCCATATGTCCACACCTAAGCTTGTACAGATGATTGTAATTTACTTAGCAGCTAATGTAAATAATTATAACGATGTTCCATAAATAGAATTCTAGAATGTTGAACACACGCCAGTCAAATGCTTCTCACCCTAAATAAATTAATATACGTCTAAATTGTTTAACATTAACCCCAAAATAAACTGGGAGGTGGGGGCAAACATTAGACGCGTTCTTTTTTAAACCTAGGTTCACCAAGAGAGTGTGGAGAGAGCTTGTTTTAAATACAAACACACGTTTTCACCACTTGTATTTTGGGTACAATTAAGTTTTTATTTTGCTAAAGAGTCTGATGCTCAAAGCGACGAAGAAAGAGGGCAGAGCCTGCCTGCTCTTGGTGAATTATATTCGTGGTGATCCATTAACAGATGCCTCGTGACCTCTCATTGCTCTGCATTACTCTTTGGTTCTTTCGGTAAAGTCACGTATAAAGATAAAATAATAGATTAAATAATAACATACGACGTTTCAATTGCAACACAAGCAATCATCATCAGGTATAAATGAAATAGCAACAAAAAATCTAACTAGAAAACTATAGGACAGACATATAAGCAGACAGATATCACCAAGATACATAGAGAGAGAGAGAGTAACACAGGCACAGAGAGGGAGATTGACTCTGTGGCGAGGCCTTAAATGCTCTGCATTGTTTCTCAACAGCGGATTGAATGGAGGGGAGAGCGTTAGAGCAGCGGCTTTTTCACCTGGGGGGGGGGGGTGGTACACGTCACCCACTCGGGATGCGAGATGCCCTTTCTGGGGGTGCGAGGCACGGTCAGATTTTTTTAGAAGGTAAATAATCGAAAACACAAATTAAGCACGGTCACGTAAGTGATAACGACTATGTTTCATCAAACCCCTCTGTATTTATTAACATTACCCATGGGTTCATATTCTTGGTTCTTTCGGTAAAGTCACGTAGAAGTGAAATAATACAATAATATAAATATAATTTCCCTTCTACGTGAC